GAAGAAGATCCATTAGTGAGTAAGTGCTAAATGCAATGCTAAATTTCTCCAAATCTGTTCCCATGATTAAACAAGCTCTTGAATGGCCTGAGGGTGAGTACATTTTCATTTACATGAACATTTTAATTTTTGAGTGAACTATTCCTTTAATATTACATGTTATTTATATAAAGACAAGTTAAACAAATGATCATCTACTTGAAAAATATTTGTTTGATACATAATATACAGTACCATACATTTCAGTCAGTGTCTTTACATGCATTTTGTGCATATAAGTGGTATAAGCAAAGACTTTGGATATACAAAGACGGTGCACACCGGTTACTTATGAATGAGAGAAAGTGCAATGCACAATATGGCGGAATAGTCCCACCTTCTGAATAAATGAGCCAATCACTAATTGGTAAACTCATTGCATCAACTGCAGCTCCCGGTATAAGACTGGTCTAGCCTGAAAAATACTTTTTTTATGCTATTTGAGAATAAGAATAATAAGTTTCCCCATTCAAAGAGATAGGAGCTGTACTTACATGACTGAAATAGCTGACTGAGAGGCATTTCAAAGATGGCCACCGAGTGAAATGTCTTAAGGGACTTTGGTATATGATACTAGATGTTTTAATTATTATCCCTCAATATTGTTTCCTTCCTGTCTACTGTCTCTATCATTATAAAATGGAGCTTGTCCACCTTGACCCTCTGTCATACTCTTCATAATCTAACTCCATTTATGACCGGATTAATTTAAGACAGGACACTATAATTTGGGTTGTGCGTATGTAGTGACGGAGAAGTGCCTAACTGGCGCAAATAACCAGGTCTCTGTAATAGATGTGGGATTTCTCAAGCTAAATAAATTTACAGTGAACTGACACTTTTTGCCAAGCTCTATTTCTAGACTCAGAGGAAGAATCACTTCCGCCGTATGACCCTCTGATGGACCCCACATTGGTTAGGTCAATCGCAGGGGTCGGATCTCATGAGATTGGAGCACTAGAAGGAGAGATATCCGGCAGAAACACTAGGGAACCTGTATGTAGGGCACTCCTACACACTAAAAATCTGCATTGACACATGAAAGAGAAACGACTGCGCCTGCTCTTCTCCTTGAGGCAGTGTGGCAAAGCATAAGGCTTTAAAGGAACACACAAATAAGTTGGCAGAGACTATGCCTGTAGGTCAGTTAACTAGAATGTGATAGAGCATTATGAAAAAATTGCTGTTACATGCACAAAGACACGATGAAGAGATTAAAATGGGTTTCCTTTCCTTTGTTTTCTTACCAAGATTTGTTTGAGTATATGAGGCTTCAACCCACTCAAAGACTGAATCATCTAACATGAAACACAGCTCACCAAGAATATTCCAGCATCTTTCATCATGCTTTTTCATCCACCAAAGGCTAAACAGTAATGATTTCCTCTGCTGGCCTACTCAGACCAGTTCAAATTTGAACTTGCCCAAAGCCCACCACCAACCAACCATCTATGTGTGTGATCTTTTTTTTAATCTATTGTCCAACACAATAAAGGCAGACAAATACAATATTATATAGCATAGGTTATTTTCTCCAGGATTTCTTCTGTAATTATGACCAAACTGCTTGATTTCAATCTCTTATCAGAAAATGAGTGTGTCATTTTGTGATTCCAGAAGTTTTTGGATTTTTAAATATATATTAATTGCTATTCATTTAAATAATTTAAATCATCCTGTTGTGTCCCACTTGGAAGTTTGCTGAGGGCCTCTAGCAGGCCTCTAATTGTTTAACTTAAATTTACCATAAACTGAGGTACAGTAGAACTACAATAAATCCAATATTCCATTCTATTAATGTACTGTCCATGTGTGTGTGTGTGTGTGTGTGTGTGTTTAGACCCATAACTCTTTTAAATGTCCCACACAACGGCCTATCCTGTTGATCTCCCTCACCTCATTCTCTGTGATGAGCCTTTTCTAAGATGAACTGGGGAGCCATTGTGACGGCTCTTGCCGTTTCTATAAAGGATCACTCTTGAACACTTGGGGTTTTGATGCCAGAAAAATAGACTTTTATTATCAGAGAGATAATGCAGTCTAGAGATGATCTGATAAAAATCTTCCACACCATTTATCAAATATGCTTTCCTTGCTCTTCCAAACTTTGCTTTTGTAGAAATGAAGGGAGCTGTTAAACCTTGAGAATCAAGGTCACAGGACACTGCCAAACGCTCATTGGAATAGAGTGCTGATTTATGGGACGTGAAAGGAGTCAGGCAAATGCCAGCTGCTGCAACTGTCGCGGAGCCACGACTGGATCAACAGAGGTTGCGATGGCGGTATGACAAGTATGACGTACGTAACGGTTTGGTTTCGGTTACAGCCACCTTGCAACATCATGTCACTCTGTCGTGCCAAGTTGAAATGAGAACAAGCAAAAACGTCTGCGCAGTGGCAGCATCGCTGTTTCAATTACAGTGGGTTTGAATCACTGTCACTTGCATAATCTGCTTAATTAATAGCACAGCTGTTGCTAGGCATTCAGACATCTCAAATGAAACAGGGTTTGTTTCCAAAGTGTGTCATGTATTTGTGCTGTGTGACTGCAAGCTTTCGGAAAGGGATCTGAATGATAGTTCCCCTCGCTCGCCGACGCAGACAAGTGTCCCCCATTCCCCCCTTTCTTATGACAACTTTTTGCGATTCCGATTTCACTTTAATGTGGACTTTTGCAGGGCTGCGTCACAAATTTTGACCAGCTGTTAGATTTTCTCAGGTAAGTGTGAGTAAATATGGTACGGACTTCAAATGGATCCTCATCGTGTGCTGGGAACCATGAACAGCATGAGCAGCCAAGAAAGAGTGTCAGCAAAACACTGAGACTTTTTTCTATAGTTAAAAACAGTAACCATCATTTGAAACTATTATTACAGCAAAATGTTAAAAGGAAAATCAACTGTAAACCAAAATGATTATTTGATCAAAAACAAATGACTGGTTAGCAATTTTTCTCGTTAAGCTGAATGTGTACAACAGCTCTGCAGTTTTAATATTGCTCCAGCATAGACAGAAAAAAAATGTGTTTGGGGGAAAAAATTTAAATCTACCTGCATGTCCATTAACTGTCCGATGCTGCGTTGTCCAATCTTTTCTATTATCAGAAAATGTGTGTCAATATATGAATTTATCAAAGTTCATTTTGTATTTCCAGAAGTTTCCAGAACTGTATGTTGAATAAAATCAAAAGTTATTGAGAAAGAGATTTTTAAGTCTATTTAAATATATATCTTATATATTTTTTATTTATTAGAAAAAAATTGTGTTTGGGGGATATATATATATATAAATGAATCTGTGAGAAAACTTGGGGAAAAAATGCAGCGTTGCGTAATTCACAAGATAAATAAATTTAAATATTAAACTAATTAATGTAAACATTTAAATATCTGTTAAATAGCATAATCAGGGCAGTACTAAAAAAAAACTAAATGTAGCCTTTATGGTCCATCTATTTTTAAATGATAAACATCTTGCAGATTCTGTAAATTAATCAATTAAACAGTATATATAGACCTTTGTTTTTAGACCTTCGTTTCCCTCAAACAGGGTGTTTACTGAAATCTTAACTGCATTGGATGGTTACTTTGTTAAGAATGGCACAGAGAACACTTTACAGGTTGGATGCATGGGGTGGTTCTCTTTGCCCAACAGAAATAAGTTTTGATCATTAAGAACAAGAAGCATTACAAGAAACATTGCTGGTTAGATAGTTAAAGAGTACTGACTGCAAAAAGTGGAGAGTTTGTAATGTCACAGAAAGCATGTCTTGGCAAGTTACTAGATCATATTCTGGGTCTTGTCTTGGGCAAACGCTACCCTATATTGGATACGTGTAACCTGAGCTGAGTGCGTGCAGCGAGTCACGTACTGTACAGCAGATCTCAAGGAGGTGTTGCAAACAGTGGTTCCCTCAAACACTAACCCATTCAACTTAAGCTGTCATCATGCCCTTCAGTCTTCACAATGCATTATTAAAATAGAAAGAATCTAATGAAACTAACGCACTTTATCTGACAAGCTATCTAACACAGCATGTTTTCCACAATGTTAACAGTAATGCAAACCTCTGGGGATTTCAAAGCCAGCACAAGTCCTTACTTGTTACAGTCAATCCTATTGCAGCTGGCTACACTAGTTCCTTTTTAGTGAAAAGACATTCCTGCTTTTAAAAAGACTGAGAATGTGCATAGTTTAAAAAAATACTAGGTTGATTTGGATTAAAGAGACTCTGTATTAATTATGCCCTCTGTGTTGAATAAGTTTGGATTCTCCTGGTGTTGTGACATGATATTAAAGGGAGAGTTCACCCAATAATGAATCGTCTGAACTGTCATCAGTTACTTACCCTCATGTTGTTCCGAACCTGTATGAGTTTCTTTCTTCAGTTCAGCACAAAAAAAAGTAAACAGTTGACAGTAGCCACTGACTTCCAAAGTAGTTTTTTTCCCATGCTATGGAAGTTGATGGCTACCGTCCAATCTTTGGTTACCAAAATTCTTAAAAATATATTTTTTGTGCTCAAAAGAAGAAAGAAACTCAAGCCGGTTTGTAAAATCTTGAGGGTGAGTAAATGATGGTAGAATTTTAATTTTTGGGAGAACTATCCCTTTTAAACCGAAAAGAGCCAGTGCCGAAAATCAGATGCATTTCTTGAGCAGATTTTGCCATCATTCTTTGGCCATCATTTTGTAATTTTTATTCATTAAGTTGTCTTGGAAATCTTTTAGACCTCCAGGTTAAAATGCAGAGTCATCCCTATATTTGTCTTAACATGTTATCACTTGTAATAACAGAAGATATCACTAACACTAACAGGCTTGAATCTATGCATTTTAAGTGGTTATGATGAAGATTATCCTACGTGTTATGCAGCTACTGTATCACTTAGTTACAGATAAACTCCAAAACAAAGTAAACAACTGTAAATTACCTTGGGTACTACAGATCAAACTATTTACCGTGACTTTCTTGAAATCTGAGGTCCTAGGATCGAAGGAAACATGTTGTGGCTGCCATGAGGTAAACCCAAATGTATGTAAACAGAGAACAAACCGGGTGATCCAGCACAACTGCACTTGTTGTATCACCTATGTAGACACAAACACAAATGTTAATCCACCTTTAAAAGCTAATGCACAAAAAACAAAAAACAAAAACATGCTTAACATATTTATGCAGTATGTACACTAGCACAAAGGGTGTAGAAGACATGGTTAGAGAACTACAATATTCTAACCATAAATCCCGAAATACTCCAAATTAGTCACACATCTAAAATCCAAATCCATCTTCACCCCTAATCCGACTGTCAAATATACACTTCAACACTGAAGGACAGAATCTTTACCTAACCTAAAAAAATATATATATAGCCTAACCTCATTAAATTATATTGGGTTTATGCTTAAACAAGAAAAATAAACTACCCATGAAAAATAAAATAAAATTATATATTATATATATACTAGATATTATCTGGAAACAAGTTAAATAATAGCTCATGCTAGTTTTGCTTTAAAAAAAGTAATTGTATCTTGTTTAAGGATGTTTACATGTTGATTTTTGTACAGAACTACCTGTAGCCTATAGGCTAGACGATTTTGTGCAGCGTATCACGAAAGCTCTCATGATCTATTTGACACTGCGTTGTCGATATAGAGGAGGAAATAAAACAGCGTCACGAATGAAAACAGAACCTCCTCCCATAACTCCAAATTAAAGCACAACAGTAAATGAATCCACATTACCACATTTCCTCGGATTCCTGCTTCGCGCACTGTGATCAAAAACAGCCGCCGCCTATGTGTGTATGTGTGTGTGTGTGTGTGTGGACCTACCCTTCTCAACATAAACAAACTTTTCCCACTACAAACATTCACAGAAAGAAAAAAAAAACACTTTCGCCGAGGCGCAGATCCGACATCGCAATTTGTTGTAAATGATAAAGAATCTGGCTAATATTGGAGAGTTAATTCAAAATTAGGATGTGATCAGTATTAGAGAGAGGAAGCTGTTTCCACGTGATTAAAGAGGCGCATGTAAACAAGACCGATTGGACCGATTTAACTGATCCACGAATTACTTTATAAAATAGAGTCCACTGCACTATGGCATATGTATATTGCTTTTGAGAATATATGGACGTATTAAATGACGATATTCAAGATACGTTGCATATTATTTACTGTAGTAATGCTGCAAATGAAAATAGTGGTTTTTATTGGTCTAAAATTAACTGCTTTTTCCTTCATAAAAATATTAACGATTAATTTTTTTTTTACAAATTATGATAATAAATAGAAACTTACACATTTTACACTAAACATGTCCTAGATTTACCAAGCTAGCAACACAAAGGCTTTTTTTCCACCACAGAATGCTATTAAACACAATTCATAATCTGAGATCTGATGGAAATGTTCATGCCTTTCAGAAATAATTATGACAAAAATGTCAGAATTCTCATATGAGGCACAGTTACTGTCCATTAGGTCGAAAATGCCTATAACTAAAGAAACACCAAAATATACAATTCTGGAAACACTGAAGCTTATTTATTTTAACTAACTGACTTTGAATAAAGGGTACATTTGATTTCACACTGCTTGCTGTGGGTCATTTTCTCTGTACAGAGCACACAGATCAATAAATCCATATTGCGTAACCACAGCAATCCCAGATTGACTGAAAATCCTTAAAGGGGTCATATGCTGCTAAAAAGAACATTATTTTGTGTATTTGGTGTAATGAAATGTGTTTATGCGGTTTAAGGTTAAAAAACCACATTATTTTCCACATACTGTACATTATTGTTTCTCCTCTATGCCCCACCTTTCTGAAACGCGTCGATTTTTACAAAGCTCATCGGTCTGAAAAGCGAGGTGTGCTCTGATTGGCCAGCTATCCAGTGCGTTGTGATTGTCCGAATACCTCAAGCGTGTGAAGGAAATGTTACGCCCCTCACCATACTGTGATGCCTTGTCCCGGCCGGAGCGAAGAGACAAAAACATTAAAACCCATTACAAACTAGGCATTTGTTGCATCCAGTGGGGACATAATTTGTCCCCACTGGATGAATAATTGCATCCAGTGGGGACATGATTATAATGACTTATACTGTCTTTTTACGCATTGCGTTGCATTGCATCGCGCTGCGTAAACATAAAACCATGTCTGCAACAGTCAAATGGCATCATGCCTACCCCTATGTAAATGTGAAATGTTTTCGCCTTTGTGTTTACATGAAAAGACAAGGTTTCATTTCTTAAGAATTTCCAAAGTTTAATACTGAGGTGTACCAGTTACAGATGCAGTCCATTGATGAGGTTGCCATAGTAACTGCAGATCATCAGAGGTCTCAGACATTGTGTTCTAGCGCAGCCTGTTCAGCAGCTCTGATGTTTTGTGGGATGATTAGCATTCAACATTATATCATACGGTCACAACTCATGATATGATCTCTCTCTTACTCTCTCTCCTGCTTTGTGGGGAAGTAAGACATGTTAAAATGCCATAAGGTTCTCATAGAAGGTTCGCATCACTTTTTACCACTGCAGAAATGTTTCGTAAATCATGCACACATTCCAACACTCTAAATGAAGTATAAAGATGGATAAAGTGAGAGCATTTTCTAAATCACTGTTTTATGCATAACCCTAATTTGTGTGTGTTTGTGTAAGTGAGTGTGTGTTCACTCATTCTGTGGGCCAGCTGAGGCCAGGCACATGCTGCATCCACCAAATGTCAGAAAGCATTTCGGTTCCTCATTTGAGGCAGAGCATTGTCCCCCAGGGGAGAGCAGCTTCCCTCTCTTCTCCTCCTCTCCCTGCTTTATCCATCCCTCCCTCTGTCTGCCAGCTTCACTGAACTGCACTTCTTCCCGGAGAAGACACAGCTGAGCGGATGCAGGGGCGTGTGGGTGGAGGGAAAGAATCATTTACAGAATTATGCAGCTAGCTGATACTGCACCATGTCACATCATTTTAAAATTATTTGTTCACTTTGAGTATTATTCAATACTTATACGCTCAGATTAGTTGATAAATGTAGTGTATCATTCTTGATGTGCAAAAATAAATCCATTGTTTTGGCCAACAGTTATTGCAAATGAACAATTTTATTAAATACAGTATGTGACAACCTGTCATTTATTTGTTTGTTTGTTTGTCAGTTAATTATTTAAAGACAACAAAACATCCACACATCTCTTATATCAACTCTTTTTACCTCAGTATCAGGCTGCTTGTAAACTGCTTGTTTCTAGTAAGGCATGCTGTCATGGGCTGCTGTGCAACTGTGAACAAGCTATAAAATAAATCAACCAACCAGCATGCAGACTGGAAAAATCTTCTCTGACACACCATCAGTGCTGAAAGCCTAGACAGCTGCCGCATGAGCGCCCAGTGAGGGTGCACTGCTGACCCACAACTAATGAGTGTGGAAAATGAATTTCGTAGCGCTCTCTGGTTAAGTACATCAAACAGAGAGCAAGTGAGGGAGGAAGGGAGAGATGAAGAAAGAGGAGCAATGTAATGTTGCTGTCCAGACAGAACAGAAGAAAACTCTCTCTGTGTAAGGACTTTTTGAATCCACAAGTCTAAATGGGCCAGTTTAAAAGACATGGCTGTTTCTGGCCATTTTGGAACTCTAGGCCTGTCACTGGGGGTGATTTCCAAATTTGTCACAGCAATAAAGAGTAAAACAAGGAGGTCTCACCAAGCCCCTTGTCTGACTCCAGATGGGAAATTTCCAAGAAGAATGGAAATTGAATATCTTTAGACTCCTCAGTTTTTCCTGTATCAAGCTGAAAGCAGTCGTGGCAGTCGTGGCCTAATGGTTAGAGAGTCGGACTTGTAACCCAAAGGTCACGGGTTCGAGTCTCAGGTCCAGCAGAAATTGTAGGTGGGGGGAGTGAATAACCAGCGCTGTCTTCCATCCTCAATACCACGACTGAGGTGAGACCCATGAGCAAGGCACCAAACCCCCGGGTGCCGCAGCAGTTGTCCACTGCTCTGGGTGTGTGTTCGCTACTGTGTGTGTACACTTGGATGGGTTAAATGCAGAGCACAAATTCCGAGTCACACGTCACTTCATTCGCTCACTTAAAGAAAGAAATTCAGAAATCACATCTTGAGTCCTTACATTGTTTTCCATCCTGTTGTGCTGTGCCTCACGTTTTTAAACTCACATTTTTTTTTACAGATTTAGCTACACAATATTAAACTATTAATCTAATAGCCCTAATTTAGATTTAGGGTTAGATTAAGTTTAACAGTATTTACCCACCTCATACACAGTCCCATCAACCCATTTCACTAGAAAACGCAACTATTTTGCAAGGTGGCCATTTCATATTATTTCATACGATGCGATTAATACAGAAATGTACGATTTTTGAAAAAAATAAAATAAAAAATAAGGTCCACTCCTAAACCTAACTTGAGTGTAAGCAGATCATGTGAAAACGTATGAATGAGACTGAAAAAAATTCATGCGAATTGGCCTCTGATTTGCCAAAACGTAAAATAGTTATGAATTACCATTATGGCATGTTAATATCATGCACAAATTCATAATATGCAATATTTAAAGCTTATTGTTGTGACCAAACCACCCAAATATTCCTCATGTTTGTGTGTGTTTGGGTCTGTTTATATAGGCACACATACATTTATGTCAGTGTGTGCTTGAGTGTTCTATGGATTTCATTTTCAATCGATTTTGGAGAGCAGGCTAAGGTAGACATCTTGACACTGAGCATCAACTCACAAGGAGAAAGACTGTCAACAGTCTCTTCTCCTAATTGGTTGGAGGTTAAAAATAGCTCTGGCTAGCCATCATGGGACTGATTTACAGCCTTCATTTACAAGGCTAACATACTCTCAGGGGGTTCTTCAAGCACTCTGCATGATGTTTCCAAACCTTTAGTTATCGATTGACATGGAGGTCCTGCAGTATATACAGCACTCCCTCATGCATTTATCAGTAACAGTAACAGATTGAAAGTCATAACATTTGTCGATAACTTTCATTACTGCAAGGTGCTTGAACATAAGAGAGAAATGTGTCTTTACTTGGCTATTTTATGGCAGGCACTTATCTTACGGTTCTCCTATAAATATGTTGAATTCACTGAAAACATATGTTAATAGAATAAATGCATACAGGTCAAGATTTGTTTACTCTTCAGCTTCAAGCACCTTTATGTCCCAGTTTTTATCATGCCTTCATAATTTACTTTTGCCATCTTTTTTCATATATATATATATATATATATATATATATATATATATGTATGTATATATATAATCATATAAAGCAATATTGTATGCTTTTCCAAATAAATTCACTTGAGAAGCAAAATAACAGTTGTTATAATTGTAGCAAATATTTGCTCAAAAACAAGAACAAATAATAATTAAGATATTCTCTGAAAACATTACTTACTCAATTTTAGCCTGTTTTACAAATATTTTACTGGAAACCAAACAAAAAATAAAGATTAAGAAAATATTTTTCAGTGTGCCCAGCAAAATGCAACAAACCAATTTGACAATCAAATGTCTTGTTGCTAGCTATGGTTTTAATCATTTTTTTAAATCAAATAATTTACTTAACTGATTAATATAGAAAGAACATAGTGCTTACTGCCTTATCGGAATGAAAACAAAGACAGGAGGACAAAAAGGATATAATACCTAATGGAAAATGTATGGAGCCCACAAGTATCATGTGTCTAAGTAGTCATATCCTGTAAGCATTACTATGCTTCCTGCTGTACAGTTTGCCTTATTTCATCCAAATGCTTGAGACAGTAGTATAATTTCTCTCTGACATCAATCACACAGCTTCCTGTGATAAAGACTTGAAAAAAATCATTATGAGGAGCACAAAAGGGCAGCGGATTCCTTGTGTATCAGTCTCGCATAAACACCCACAAACAGACGGTGAGTGTTGGGGGTTATAGCACAGGTCAGTGAGCGCACGTCTTGGCAGATCCGTGCCACCTGCTAACAACCTGGCACAGACACAAGGGATGTCTACAACATGTACCGGAGACCATTGCACAGGTCAAAGGTCATCAAGGCCCCACCCTGTGCTCAGAGGACCAAGCAATTCACTTTACACACATTTACATTCACCACTGCGAAATCCATTAACCTGTCGGCAACATGTTTACGTTTTTCTATGCGGGTCCAGATTGTGAGAGTGTAGGTATGTAAGTGTGTGTGATGTTATGCTAAAAAATCTGTTCTGTCACTGCCATTTACTAGCGATACAAGCCAAATCACCTACGGCCATTTTAGCTCTGTCCGTATTGGTTTGTTCTAAACATTGAGTTTGCAGTCTTAAAAGACCCCACTGGATGCAATGTGACCTGTCACACTGGATTCAGCTTCAAACAAGGCGACCACACAAAGGGTTCAAATGCAAATCTGATGGCCTCATTTAAGATCAAGATTCATGTTTTCACATAATATACTGTATATTTTATTTGTATTTAATATATGAAGCTGGTATTTGTATTTCTAATGTTTTTGAAATATGTCACTTATGCTCACTAAGGCTGAATTTATTTGAAAAATAAATAATAATAAAAAATAAACAAATATATATATATATATATAAAACATAATTTAAAATATTTTTTTCTTATTATCGTTGAATAGTTGTGCTGCTTAATATTTTTGTGGAAACTGTGATACATTTTTTCAGGATTCTTTGATTAATAGAAAGTTTAAAAGAACAATTTATTTGAAATATATATATTTTTTGTAAAATTGTATATATTTACTGTCATTTCTTTATTAATATAATGCTTCCATTCCTAATGAAAGAATTCATTTCTTTAAAAAAAATGCTGACAGCAGACTTTTATTATTGTTGAAATCATGGCAATTTCCTTAATGAAAGATGCACATATGATGTCATAATAATTAAACGGTATTGTATATATTGTATGTAATATTATAATATTTTATGTCTATTAATTTATTTTACTGTTATATTGTATTATATTGTTAGAATCATTCAAATGGATAAACTGGGTGAATTCAAAAAGAGATTGATTTAAATAAACTAGAGTTCATGTAACATAAAAGCGATGAAGAAAGACATTAACACAGAATATATTCATGCTTTGTCTTTAATCACTTCATAGAAAAGTAGCTTCAGATTTTATTGAACACAATATACAATATTATTACCATACATTGTGTGAAACATTGAATATTCACCTGCAACAATGTGGGATAACCAGACGATAAAAACTCATCCCTCATGCAGATAGCACTAATTCTGTTGAATCCTTTTGGACGCAAATCGGACCAAAAGATCTCAAATATAGATTAACAAAGTTATACTGACAATTTGAATTTCAAAACTGCTAACAAGGTCAGAAAAAATAGTTCACATTAGCACAAATAATTACAGAAGATCACATTTTCGTAATTATATCGATTTCACATTGTTGTTCAAAGATTGTGATGTTAGTGACCAATTCATCTGTAAATGTGCCTTGACAGGCCACTTCTGAGCCATTTTTTAGCAATCTCCATTCAAAGTGTTGTATATATTTGAGGGCCATGTTCTGTGGAGATTCTCGTGAGATACTGATTTATCGATGTTACACCAAACAGTGATACACAAAGCTTCTAATATCTGACAGATGTCTACAGTATGCATTTATGTCTTATCTACAGACTCTCCCCGTTACCAATGGGTCGCGTGTCTCATAGGCTACTGTTCTGGGCAGTTGGAAATTGTGCAATATATTCATACATAGTATATATAATATATATTTATTTATATTAAAACAAACAATATTACTAAATAAAACAGACTCAGTCCAAGAGCCCACTACACAAGAAACACCACCAATTTTCGGTAATGCAAGTGCATATAAATTAATCCATTTACAAAGAAACATTATTTCTTATGTACAGTTAACGGTAATAAATACACTGTTATAAACAGTAGAGGACCAATCTGAGCGCATAGAAACAAAGTGAATTGAAGGAGTCGTGAAAAGCGTGGGCTGGTGATCAAGCGACCTGACGGACGCTTGCACACATAAACACAGTAATGTGTAGACACATATATATATATATGTGCACACAAACGTACATTTGCATGCTACTTTGGCCATTAACTGTTTCCACTGTTGAGACTTTGAGTGTAAGGTAGTTAAAGTACCTCAAAGTATGAACTACACACAAACTTAAACGTTATTGGTGAAAAAATGCACGAGACAGCAATGCTAACGTCAATAGATTCATTACAAAACTGGCATGTTGAAATCTGACAAGTGTAATTGTTGAAGTACTAGAGCAGATGTAAGTGAGATTTTTTTTAATCATATCTTGGTGTTCTACGAGATGGGGAAGGAAATCAGTTGACGTCAATGTTTTAATCTGTCTTAAAAGTGAGCCAATCATAAGAGAAGATGTTTTATTTAGAAGATAAATGTGGAAATGTTCTGTATCAAAGTGTGTAGAAAAGCTACAAAAGCTAGTTTGGACTGCTTTTATTCTGTGTTTCTGAGGTATGATGGGAAGAATGAAAAATGGCTGCTGTAAGGAAGACAATTATGATGAATCGAAAGCAAATTAACGTTTAAGTGAACATAGCTTTGGCTTCCCCTGTGATTTTAGTACATTATGAGACCCCTAGTGATTGGATTTTTTTGGGGGGTGCTTGTATTTTGTTTTACGATCTAAGCAAATGGGGTCTTCATATTTAAGGGCATTTAAAGTTTTTTGTGCAACAATGCATTTACCTAACACAGATTTTTTTTTTACCCTAATGTGGATGGGATGATGTACGGATCCAAATAAACAGAGTTTGTGCTCATATTTAAAAAGTCCGACACAAATGTAGATAGAATAAACAGAAAGTGCCTCTTTCATCATTTCTTAGTTTTCTGATCGTTTGTCAGATGTTTGGATTATCAAGTTATATTGCCAAACAAAGGAAGACACTAATTCTCTCTCCAGCGTAGATATAAAACAATTCTGCATGTTTGGTCTGGTTTAGAAAACGAAAACATTTCAACATACAGTTATACTAAAATGTGTTCAATAAATAAAAGACTATTAAAAAGACAATAGTAAAAAGGCACACAGTCTTTAGACAAATGGTACAGAAAAGTAAACAGTTTCTCTCTTTACAAATACTTGTTCTTCAGTAGTTCGTGTTTGACCTCAACACACAACCATAGCTTTAGAAAAAATTTGTGTTGGTACAAAAAAAAAAAGAGAAATCCTCTCAGTAGTGTCTACTCCTCACCGGCAGGTAAACAAACAAACAAACAAACTGTCCACGTTGGCCCCAATCCTTCATGTTTATCAAAGTCGCCTGTCAATTGTTCAGGTCCAAAATGTCTGCAGCATTTATTTCCTGAGAGCTCCTACCAAACTGTCTCCAAACGTAAGTGCAAGGAGGGCAAGACATCCTCCTCCCATGAGGGCCTAAAAAAGCACCCCATGTGGGCTTTTTAAAAAGCATCAACTGCAAGATTGCTCCTCTCGCAAGGGAAAAAACAGCTACCGCCTATTAAGAGACGCCAAGTCCTATGTGTCGACAGGTGATGCGTCTTCGGTAACTATCTGGATGTGTGTAGTGGATTCCATTTCTTCTTCCACATCCTCTTCCTCGTCACCCTGGCTCTGTTCGTCTTTTTCCGTGCCTTCTGAGTCCTCTTCCTCTAGTGTGAGCTCAAACTGGAACTTGTCTGGCCCTGAACCCCCGCCGTTGCCTTCTTTGTCGGGCTGGTAGAAGGGTGGGGAAGGGCTCTGGGGGATCATGCTCTGGTACCAGTTCCGATTATCCTCCAGCGTGTCCAGGATATCCTGGGCATCTGGATGCACCAAGTCGGCCCAGGTTTCCCACAGTGGGTGGACGATGTAGTCAATGAAACCCACCTGAAGAGA